GGAAAGAGTTAAGCACAATTAAATGCTGATGGGAAAACTCTTGTAGAGGGAGTAGTTGAAAAGACAGGGGAGGGTGGGGATCAACCGTAATGAAGGAGGATGTCATTAGGTTCGGGGACTATAGCCCAGTGGGAGAGGTGAGGGTGTGGGTGATGCAATTTTTGGGGAGGCCCAGGGCAGGAGTGCCCTGGAAGCAATGGAGGGTGGAGGAGTCAGGAGGGAGGGAGAAGCGGGGATCCTCAGGACTTCCCTGTGGCCTAAGCCCCAGTCAGCTCTGACTTGGGGTCTAGAGTCTGGGCTGCCTCTCTTAGCCTGGGAGCAGCTCTCTCCAGAGGCCCGGCCTGCTTCTGTGCATCTTGAAGGCTTATGTGGGTGTTGGGGGTCCTTTGGATGGCCAGGCAAGAAGGACAAGGCAGGTGGACATGCTGCTGGCCGGACCTGCTCAGGACACACCAGCTGACTTCACAGCTGACTGCCCCCTACCCCTCAGGACTTCAGCCTGGCCAGTTCCCTTCCCCCAAGTCCAAAGACCGGGGCTTGTGCTTTGGCGGCTCCAGCCCCTTCAGCTGGTCCCAACAGACACACAGTGAATGGGGCTTAATGAGGGCCAGGATCCCCTTCCCCAGCTCCTGGGTCCCCCGAGGTCCCAGCCAGGCCCAGGTTCCCCTCCCTCCTTGGCCCCATTAGGTGGCCCACCAGCCCCTGCCCGGCTGCTCTGTCCTCACTACCGTCCACCATGGCCCCATAACCACATGTCACATGCCACTCCCCCAGCCCCGAGGGGCCGCCCCGCCACACCTCTCCTCCCTCAGAGCCAGGGGCGCCCTCGCCCAGGCAGCCCGGAAAGGAAACAGATTTAGGGCAAGGCCCAGAATGAGGTCAGTGGCAGGAGGAAAAATTCTTGGGGACTGTTAGGAGCCCCCAGAACCAGGCCCCCCTGACAGCAGCCACCCACACCCCCGCCTTGGGCCGAGGAAGACACCGGGTTTGCCTGGGGTGGGGGTGCGGAGACGAGCTCACTTCTTGCCCAGCTGCCGGGCAACATCGCAACGCTGGAAGCCCTCCAGGTGGTAGAGGCGGCGTGCCAGCCGGCGGGCAGCTTCACTCACGCCCTGGCCCCCGTTGGCCAGTGGGTCTGCGCTGCCAGGCTCCAGCCCCTCCGAGCTGCTCAGCTCTGAGTCTGAGTCCGACAGGCCGTCCTTCAGGCTGGGGTCGCTGCAGAGGGAAGGTGCGGTTGGGAACGAGTGGGTCAGAAGCCGTGGTTGGGGGCTGGAAGGTCTCCCCAGGCCTCTGAAAATCCAGGGGTCAGACCAGGGAAAGAAGCTCCACTGCATCGGGACAGAATCAAGTCAGACTTTTAGAAAAGTCCTCAAAGGATATCATTAGATGATCAGCTCCCTGACCCCACCTTGGCTAGAAAGGGCTGGAAGGGCAGAATGGAACCTCAGGCTGGGGGTGCAGAGGGTGGGCACGATGACCTTGCAGAGGGCTGTTCACTCCAGACCCCTGGATGTCCTAACTTGCTTTGCCTCCTCTGGGTCTCAGTTTCCCCATCTGCTCAATGGTTCTCTTGGCTCCCAGCCTGGGCCCTGCCTCACCTGGCCGAGTTCAGCAACTTGTCCATGTCTTCCTCCTCGTCTTCTTCGTCCCCGCCTGGGCCCGGGGGTCCATCTTCATGGAAGCCATTGGGCACGGCCGTGAGAGACAGGCGGCTCAGGACATCCTCGGAGCGGCTGCCGGAGATGGAGCGCCGCAGGGGGCTGCCCAGCTCCCCATCACCGCCAGCTGCTCCCATGTCCCCCTTGGACCCCATGTCCCCAGTGCCAAGGCCAGCCCCTGGCTCAGGGCTATCCCGGGCCCGCTGCTGGATGAGGGGCGTGAGGGGGGCCTCGAAGCTGACGCAGCTGTCGCTCTCATCCGTGAGGCTCAGCACATCGAGGGAGTCCAGGCTGCTGTACTGTGTGCTCTGCAGCAGTTCCGACTCCACAATCTTCTCAAATGTGGTGCTGAAGCCATCCCGCACATCTGGTTCTCCTGGCCTGTGGGATGCGAGGACCAGTCACCATCCTGCCAGGTGTCCCCCTTACAGGTGCTAGGATGGCACCAATCCATGTCTGGGAGCTCCCTGGGGGCAGGAAGTGGGCATGGATCGTGTCCTGTTTGTTCTTTCTGCCAACCTTTGCTGAGCACTAGGTGCCAGATGCTGGACTGGGTACCGGGGCACAGCAGTGAAAGGACAGGCGTGGTCCTGCCCCCCCTGCCCACCGTGCCTGGCCCACAGTGGGCATCACTGAGCTAAATGAATGAATGTGAGACTCTCCCTCAGCCTGGCCTGGGAAGGGGGTGGGGGGCTGCTTCCTCCAGGCTCCCCATCACAGCTAGTGTCACACAGGGTCATAATTTTGCTGTCCCCACAACCTGGGTGGTTCTTAGCCTGGCTGCCACATTCTAGCTCTCAGGGCTTGCCTTTAATGTCACCTCCTCAGAGAGACTGCGGGAGGCAGGCCCACACCACCCAACACACTGGCCCCTCAGTAGTGTCCATCCTCAGGGCACCTCTTCATTTCCTCCCAGCCCCTCTCAGCATGTAGTATTCTGTTTGTTTCCCTGTTTACACCTGTTTCCCCCCGCCCACACACAAGGCCAGGAAGCACCCAGCACACAGTAGGTCCTCTAAACCCTGCTGAGTGGTGCACTGGGTAAATGGACAGATGCCTATCAGCCCCACAGCCCATTACACTGCCTAAGCCCTTGCAGAGCCCTGTGCTGCCCCTGAAAAAGGCCTTTGCACCAGCGGTTCCCTCTGCCCAGAGTGCTCTTTCCTCAAGCTGAAGTCTTCCTTTCGCATCCCTTTCTCACCCTGACTGCCCTATTTATAACTAGGACCTGCCCCCAAACACCCCAGCCCCTTTTTCTTGCTTTATTTTTTCCAAGGCACTTGTCGCCTTCCAACATACTATGTAATTATCTATTATTTTTATGACATATTATCTGTCTCCTCACTAGACCATAAGCTCCATGAAAGTAGGAATTTTTGTATATTCTGTTCACTGATGTAGCCCCAGCACCTAAAATCGAGCATCACACATAGATGAACCAAGGCCTCTTATCCACTGGGGAGATGCACAAGTAAGCAGGGAAAACAGGCAAGGAAGACGGACTAAAAGAGATAAAAATAGAGACAAAGAGAGAGAAGAGAAATAAGAGAGAGATAAGAAAGAGACAGAGAAAAGAGATACAGAGAGCACGAAAAACAAAGACAGAAAGACAGAATAAGAGAGACAGAAAGTAACAGAGATAAAGAGACACACGCAGAGAGAGAGAGAGAGAAACATAGAGGCAGCAAAAGCAAGAGACAGAAAAAGAAAGAAGCAGGCTGAGCCCAGCCCATTTCAGATAAACCAAGGCCCACCATTTGCAAAGAAGCACACCCCTGGTAACCTTGAGGATCTGGCTATGCCCTGCTTAGCCCCTAGTCCCTGGGGCTTAGCAGAGACTGAGCCATATTTGGAGGACTGGGAAGTGCCCCACCCCCTCAAACCCCTCCTTGGACCCCCAGTGCCTAAGTTTGATCCCTGAGTGCTTCCTGGAGAAATACTGACCTGAGAGAGAAAAGCTGAGGCCACAGCCATCGGCCACCCCTGTCCCACCAGGAGTTGAGACGGCAGCCTCATTTGGAGAAGGAAGTGGGGAAAGGGCAGAAACCGAAAAGGCGGTAGGATGCCCAGCAGGGGGCTGGGATGGAAGTTGCCTTCACTGACCTCCAGGAGGAGGCGAGGGAAGAGAAGCGCCACTGCCCTGGCTGCCAGAGCAGACACCCAAAATCTGCCCAGCAGCTCTCTCTGCCAGGCCCATGCTGGGTCCTGGAACAACAAGACAGAGTCCTGCCCTTGGGGGCTCTCATCTCGTGTCAGAGCCAAGAACGGTCCCCATATCTACCACCCTCTCGTGTACCTGAGCAAACCTGAGGGGTAGTTTTGACAGGGGCTTGAAGACCATCAGCTTAATCTCCAAACTTCCATCTGCCTCCACCTTCAGCCATCCTCCAAAATTATACCAACCTAAATACAAACAGCGTGCTCCAAGAAGCCCCAGCCTCCGCCCCGCCCCCATAGGCCCCGCCCCCCATAGGCCCGGATGGAAACTCTCTCTTGGCACACCCGGCACACACTGGCGTCTGACCCCACGTACTCACATTCCTGCCCTTGGAGACCTAGGCACACTCAGCCCCACACATCCACGTGCAACTCAAATGCACAGGCCAGGCACACTGACATGCTCACACATCCCCGTGCACACACCAGTACACGCACACATGCATGCCCCACAAACATGCTTGCACACCTCCTGCACCCTTGTCTGCCTGGGCCAGTGCCTACACTGGTACACAGTAAGCCTTCTATATGCTTTCTTTTCTCAGCCCACACTGGGGGTTTCTAGACATTCCCCTGCCCCATCCTCGCCTCCTTGTCCAACTGGCACCTCTAAGACACCGGGCCTCTCCACCTCCAGCTGAGGATAACAGAAATGGGGTTGTAACTCCAGGAAGTAGGACTTACTCCAATAAGTAGGAGCTCCTGGTCGAACTCCCAGATGGCACTCAGGGAGAAGCAGCTGACAAAGATTAATCCACATAAGCCTACTCTCTTGAGGTGAGTTGCAGAATTGGGACATTCTCATCTCCAAGAAGCAGGGAGATAGGCCACATCAAGGCATTTTGAACTCTGATGTCCAGCCTGGGATGGAGGGAGTGTGGCCCTCCAACCCCACATAGAAACAGCCCACGGTGGAAGGGGAGGTGGGGGAGGGATGGATTGGGAGTTTGGGATTAGCAGATGCAAACTATTATATATAGAATGGGTAAACAACAAGGTCCTATTGTATAGCACAGGGAACTATATTCAATATCCTGTAATAAAACACAATAGAAGAGAAAAAAATTTTTAAAAAGAAACAGCCCATGGTGAACAGGAGGGCTGGGGCGGGGGCGGGTGGGCACAACAGGCCTGCTGGCCTTTGAAATCTCTCCTATGGCCCTATCCTCCCAAAACAGGGACATAAAATTCCCATTTCATGTATGAGGAAAAACAAGAACCAGAAAGGGTAAGTGGCTAGGCCCAGGCCACACAGCACTGAAGCAAATGTGGTGAGCCTCCCATCCCGAGACACCCACTTACCCCAGTGGAGGATCCTCAGTGCCTGGACAGAGGCTCCTGGAGGCATCGTCCCCCTCCGCCAGCCCACCAGCCCTCCAGGGCCTGGACTCTGTAGAGTCTTCCAGAATGTTTGAGTCTGGCCCCAGGGCTAGGCCATTGGTGAGGGAGAGGCCAAGGCTGAGGCCGTGCAAGGCCATGTCCAGGCTCTTTGTATGCCCCTCCGTGTGCACCAGGGTGCCCCTCATCTCATGCCCTGGGCTGGTGTGGCCACTGTTCAGGTCCTCACTGGATGCCATTCCATTCTGGACCCCAGGCTCCTCCTCAGGCTCCAGGCTGGGGTCGCAGGTGGCACCATCTTCCCCAGGCAGTGCAGATAGAAGCTTATCCATGGCAGCCACTGCTTCTACCCCGTGCTGGCTGCTTTGGGGACCCAACTTGACCTGCCAGTGGATGGAGAGAGAAAGGGGTGGATCAGAAAGAGCAGGTGCTGGGGGTCCAAAGCCCAGCAGAACCAGCAGCAGGCAGCCTGCCTGAGGACAAGAGGATGGCCCAGATGATCTTCTCAGGACTTCTCAGCTGGAGTCTGGGTTCAGGCTGTGGCCTCCGCACTGCCTTGCTCAGGCCAGCACCACTCACCTCTCCCCGGACCTCCAGCCACTGGTGTTCCCCAGTCCTACCTTCCCTGTTAACTCTTAGATATCTCTGTTGTGCCCTTCAGAATTCATCAAAACCCTCCGAGGAAGATCCAGTTTGGCAGGTACTAGGGAAGGGTCCAGGACTCCTCCAAGGCCACTTCCTCTCCCGCTGGTGAGAGAAGGGAACAAAACCCCAGGCCTACAGCAGCCAGCCACCTTGCCTCTTTCCATGTTCCCTTGCCCTGGCTCCAGGAGCGAGACAAGTGGTGACTGAAAAGATCTGGACTGGGGGCTGACTTTAGAGGGACAGTTAAGTAGGGAGGCAAGGAAGTCAACAGAAGTGCAGCTTTATTAACAGAGGCCACCCCAGAGAAGCCAAAGTGAGGCCCCGAGGAGGCGCTGTCCAGGGTGCTGAGTGGGGCGGCGCCACCCGGGAGACTGGCCGAGAGCAGGGCTTCCTCCACCGCTGAGCGCCCAAAGCCCTGGCTGCGCGGGGTGAAAGGAGGAGGGGGCCTGGGGTTCCCCTCCACACCCGGCCCTGGCCTCAGCGCTCACCCATCCTTGAGGAGGGACTCGTGAGGAGGCTGCCACGGGGCCCTCCAGGGGAGAGCACTGGAAGGGGAGCCCCACTCACTGTGCGGCCTCGTGGGGTCCACGTTGGGACTCCTCACTACTCCACCCAGGCCAGCCCCCTCCCCTCTTCCCTGCCCGGGGTCTGTTTCTCCTCTGTAAAATGAAGAGACCCATTTTCCCTGCCATCTCCACACACACTCCCTTTTTTAAAACGGATCAGAACAAGCTCAATTTCCCAGAAGCTTCCTGTCCAATCTCAGGAGGGTGGGCAATGTGACGGGCTGTGCTCTGGCTCTCCCCTCGGCCCTCTCTGCCCCACCCCACCCCTAGTGGCCTCTGCCACCAAGGACACAGACCAGTCCCTCCAAAGAACTTCCTTCCTCCCCTCTTTGGACCTCAGCTTCCCCCAGTAACCCCACTCTCCTCTGGAGAAAGGGTGCTGGGGGTTCAGGAGAGGCCCGCAGGTACAGCAACAGGGATTTAAGTGAGGCCCACAGTCCCCATACTCACCTGGTCAAAAGCATCACCTGAGGGACTTGTTAAAATACAGATAGGCCCTCCCTCAGGCCTCCTGAACCAGAATCTATAGGGAACGGGTATAGTAATCTGTTATTCTTACAATAAGGCAAGTTTGGGAAACACTGGGTTAGACTCCAAGAGAAACTTCCCACTTAGAGGAGCCTGGAGAGAAAGGTGGGTCTACTTCTCTGGGGGCTTCTGGGCCCTTGGGAGGAGCTCTGCCACCACAGGACCACTTAAGATTCATGTACCCCTTGGTTTTCAAACACGGAGTGGAAGAGAGCAGGCGGGACGGATGGGGTCTGGGGCCCCACCCACCCTGTCACCTCCTAGAGTTTTGAAGACTGTATGAGCATAAGATTTTACTCTAAAAAACAAAACAAAAACAAAACAAAACTTCCACAGGCTAAAAAAAAAAAATCTGAAAAGCTAGGCTCTAGAATATCTGGGCCCTGATCCTAGGACACTGGAGACCCCAAGGGGCTCGGCACTGAGTGAGGGATTCTTTCTGGTCTGCCCTAAATCCCTGCTGCTGCAGTTGCTATTTCAATCCGTTCCCTCGGGTTGTGTACTCAGAGCAAGGAGAACAGGAAGTAATCTCCTCAGCTGAGACTCCTTGGGGGTGAGGGGAGCATTTAGAAACGAAAGAGGAGGGACAGTGGGGACTCTGGGCCTGCTGCCTGAGTTCTAGTCCTCTGGCCTGCTTTCTAACCCACAGGCCTGGGTGAGCACTGGATCTGTGGCACAGGGTTTCAACCTAATTCCACCAGGATTCCTCAAGCTCCCACACCCACACATGGATGCTTAACCCCGCTTTGGCCAGGGCTCTGCCTGAGCTCCCAGTGAGGCCTGAGATTTGACAGCATAAGCGGCTTCACCTGGCACTCAGTCTACACCAGCCCCAAAGCCAGGGTTATGGACAAATCAAGGACCTCTTGGGAGGCCCCTACATCACCTCCAACTTCCAGCAGCTGCCTCAGGCTGGCTCTAGCCCTACCTGCCCTGCCATGTCCTCCTGCAGCTGAGAGCAAGATGGAGGTTCTGCCAACACCAGGCACGGGGCCGGGTCCTCAGCTTCTGGGGGTGGACAGACAAGGGGCACATTGAGCTCCACTCTGGGAAGAGGCCCAGAGTCCCTGCCTGGGCTAAAGGCCAGCCGAGCCCAGAAAGAGCTGAGCCAGGACCCCCCCCCCTCTCTTGCTGGGACCAAGGGAGGGGTGCTCTTCAGGGCAGAGGCGTGAAACAATGCCCCAAGTCCTCACTCTGAATCACCATGTGACCTGGGACTCATCATTGTCCCCTCTGGCCTTTGTGAACCCATCTGCAGAATGGGGGCATCACCTCTGCTCTCCTTCCCCAGGGCTGGTGGCAGAACTTAAGGTCATGAATGATGAGAGCGCTGAGATCCAAGGAAAAACAAACTCACTACAGAGGTCAAGGAGAAAGGCAGCTATGGCCCACTCTCTCCACTACCACATTTGACATACGGGGAGACTGAGGCACAGAACCAGGAAAGGCTTTGCCCCAGGTCACACAGTGAGTAGCTACCTCTAGACTCAGGAGTAGCCTCCCTCTGCACCTGGATGGGCTGGAAGTACAGGATGAGCCCCAGTTTCCCAGACCCTCCCTCAAGATCATGGCTCAAATCCTCATCCAGAAGAGTCTACACAAAGCAGTGACCCTGCCCACTTCCAGCCCTGCTGGCAAGAGCAGGGGAGGGGGTACAGCTGGGCCACAGGGCCCACTCATGAGAAGGAGATGCCTACAAATGACAGCCCAGCAGTGACTAGATCCTCTGCATCCTCCCTCAGCCAGAACCAGGCCCCTCTCTCAGCAGGGGCTCCTGTGATTGCCCTTGGGATAACCTTGGGCATAGCAGCCTCTTTTTCAGCACCAACCAAAATGGGGTCCATGACGGTAATGGAACACTGGCTGGAACAGGGCTGAATGCCAAGCCAGCCACTTTCTGGGTCTCAGCTGTTCCTGCAACAACCCTATCCCCCCTCCCCACTATCCCATGGCAGCCGGAGTGAGTTGTGAAAACACAAATTATATCATACCCCTCCCTCACTGGCAACCCTCCATCAGCTCCCATCGCCAATCTGGCCTCCTCAGCATGGCCTAAAAAGGCTCTGCCTGAGCTGGTTCACTACCCTCAGCCCATCCCCCACCCCAGCAGCCACACTGGCCTTCTTTCTCCTCCCTGAGCTCATTCCCACCTCAGGGCCTTTGCACCAGCTGTACCCTTGACCTAGAATGCTC